TGGGAGTGGACGTGTCAGCAGATGTGTCTATGAATAATGAGGTGAATCATAGAATTGATGAGGAGAAAAGGGTGAGTGGTGTACTTGGGAGTCTGGAGACAAAGAACTTTGTCCATGGAAGCAAAGAGGAGAAGGCTGGAGGCAGTGGAGATGTCATGTCTGAGGGCAATGTGTTGTGTGCATGCAGTGCAGAGAATTCGTAGTTTGAAAATTAGGAGGGGGTGGGGGATTACCAAAACTATTATCCAGACAGCTAAGGAGGGGTTGCTGAGGTGGTTCGGATATGTAGAGAGAATGGAACAAAACAGAATGACTTCGAGAGTGTATAAATCTGTAGTGGAGGGAAGGTGGGGGTAGGGGTCGGCTGAGGGAAGGTTGGAGGGAGGAGGTAAAGGAGGTTTTGTGAGTGTATTTGATAAGGAGTGAATGGAGACAAATGGTTTTTAACCTTTTCAGGGTCGAGAGGCCCTCTCCTAAACTTGTTCTCAGGGTCGAAAATTTTCTGGGAAAAATTTTTTTTTCTTATGAAATGATAGAGAATCTTCTCCCGATCATAATGACACCAAAAGTATGAAATTTGATGGAAAACTTATGGAATTATGCTTTCACAAAGTTAGCGGTCTCGATGATGATTACGCATCGGCGATTTCGCCCATTTTGAGCCCAATTTTCAGTCAATTCCAGTGTACTAGTCGACAAAAATTGTAACTATTTCATGAACTCAATTTTTCTACCGAATGAGTACAAGAAATCACCCATTTACCGATTTCAACTATCCAATGAAGTGGTCAGAAATTGGCAATTTTGCCAATTTCACACAAATTTCAAAAGATGCCAATTTCCAAATAGGGTCCAGAATAAACAAGACAGACATTCCTGGCACTAAAATAACATTTTCTCTGTTCATTAGTCACGTCCCCAGGCCCCTCTTACATATCTTTTGCTTTCCGCTTTGAATTTTTATTCTCTCGAATAGATTTACTGTTATGCAGACTACTGCATTAGTGTAGAAATGGTATAAATAATATCAGCGCATTTGTGAAAGAATGTTACACTCACTAGTTGACGTGTATTGGATGTGTGTCATGATTTGTTTACTTTTGAACTTTGGCAAAAAATGAACATTTCTGCTACTTTGAGCTCAATTTCAAGGTACTTTTTATAGTGAAACCAATCAAAATCATCTCAATTTCTGTAATATGTCTTCCATTCTATAAAATGAGGCCAAGAAAACTGGAGTACAACCATAAATACCATACGAAAATACACTGCAAAGTCGCTGTTGTAAACCAAAAACATGGTCGGAGTTTTTTTTTTCCTCATGCACTGTGTACTGCAGGATTTTTTTTTAATACTGTGCACACTGACCACATGGACCCATTCTTTCTTATGTAGGCCTACCAGCTTTCTCTAGCTAGATTTGAAGGTGCTAGAATTTAGGCATACTAGTACGTCAATAACCCTGGCGCATAAGATGTACTAGTACGTCGGAAACCCTGAAAGGGTTAATACTTGACGTGCTGTTGGAGTGTGAGCAAAGTAACATTTATGAAGGGATTCGGGGAAACCAGCAGGCCGACTTGAGTCCTGGAGATGGAAAGTACAGTGTCTGCACTCTGAAAGAAGGGTGTTACTGTTGCAGTTCTATAACTGTAGTGTAGAGCCCCCCTCTGGCAAGACAGTGGAGTGCATGATGAAAGTTTTTCTTTCTCGGGCCACCCTGCCATGGTGAGAATCTGCAGATACATTAATAAAAAAAAATATTCATCCTCAAGCATGATACAGCCCGTGATACACTCCCAAGTTTAAAGATTTGCAAATAACCAAACTGTAGTGCAAATAAATATCAAAATGCCAGGACAATTGAATCGAGCAAGATTAATATAAGAATAAAGTAATGAAAGATGGAATGCACGAAATGATACCTCATTACAAGATATAAAATAGCTAAAGCATCATAGAAAACCAGGGTTGATAAATGCTAGATGAAAGATTTAACACTAATGATGGACAAGAAAATGCCAAAACAAAGCAAAATAGAAAAATCAAAGATATAATGATGGATAATGAAAAGAAAACTGACGCAGGCAGAT